TCAGCACATCCTGCAATTGAAACACATGACATTGCCTAAAGCTTCAAGACGAGAGCCAAGTTTTCTTCAGTAGAACATCCTAAAATAAGGTTTGTCACTAAAATATGTACTACTTCCTTTCCGCGAAATGAGCTCCTCAACTTTTCTCCTTAAAAGGCAGTGGCAAAAAATTTCCCACTTTCTCCTCGAGTGCAAGAAAGCAGCCCCCGTGTAAACGCCTTGCCAATCCAGATGTGCTAGGATACTGGACACATCTGCATGGGACTTGCAGACAGGATATGGGACGGAGCTGGAAGTTGGGCAGGTTTGTGATACTAGGACAGCACCACACACAGCATTACCTAGGGCAACTTAACCAAGACCAAACTATTAGTGACCTGTTCTCTTCAAAGCAACACAGACTGCTTCTTTACTAAGAGAAAGACAGGAAGAAAAGAAACCTAACCAAATTTTCAACCATACAAACTTTCCATGTTGAGGGGACAGAACGTGTAACCAAAACATTAATGGAGGCACTGACACTATATGGATAATCACCACGATATCATGTTCAGTTTTTATCAAACATCTAACACTCCCTTCTCTAGTGTTGTGATTCTAGTAAGTAATTTGGGCAAACATCCACAACAAGCAAGCTAACTAGCTTGCTTTACTTATATAATGTCCTACCAAAATATGCAAGACACCACCAATCAGACTGAAGGACTGCTTCAATTCATTTCGATGATCTCTTCTCGTAAAGCTTATTCTTTGAAATGCAGTGCCACGCTGACCACAAAGGCAGATGTTTCTGCAGAACACCCAAACAGATGGTAATTTATCAATTATGTTTTTGTTTTGCATGGCACAGATAGCTTCTGTGATGTGCAAAAATTAGTAAGAATGCTCTGTGATGTAGAATATAAAACTAACCAGAAACAAAACCCCCGAAATATTTCTAAATAGAAATCTAAGAGGCTTCAGGGGATAAAAAAAAACCTGCAAAGATAATATCTTGCCATTCAGAATGCTTCACTTATTCTACCGTAACAATGATTAATATAATTCGTTCCTTTTTTTTTTAAGCCAGAGCAGCATCAGCTCTAACTTACCTGTAATTCACTTCCTATCTAATAATTTTACTGCTGTTCAGCACACTGTTGTAAACAACATCCATTTACGCTATCAACCAAACGCTTACTCATAGCAAGAACATTCATCTTACTTAGGTAGCTGTTACTTACGTTCCCATTTTTTCTGACCTCTACTAAATCCTAGCTTTTTTATGTAGTGTGGAGGACAAAAATGCACCTTTACACTTATGTCTTTTCCCAAAATAAGTAACAGCAAATCCAGTGTTTGCTAACACACCTGAGGGTAAAGTATGTAATCATCATACCAGCATTCCACATAAGTGATCGCTGTTACTGTGGCACTTAGCTACTGTTTGTTTTGCCCAAATACCTTGAATAAGACTAAAAATGCTAACACCTCCCCTCAGGCAACTCTTAGGTGCTGCTCAAAGAAAACTCCTCCTTGCTGGGTGTTTGTTTGTCCCTATTTCCTCTAAATAAGCTGGTCATAACATTCATTTCTTGTAGCATGATCTCTATCTAACATTCAAAAAAGATGCTCTCAGCTGAACAACCATGGAATTCACTCAGAATCATACTCCAGTTTTCAATACAAATAAACTGAAGAAATAGTATGTTTTATCCAGATGTATATATTTACGCAATATTTATACAGTAGTTACCAAAATTCAGGTTGCCAGCAGCAAGGTACACAACTTCTACAATGTGTGCCATTTTACGCTGCAATGAACAACGTACTGGGAGAGAACAAAACTAGTTAAATAAGGATGACTCAGATGAATAACTCAACTTAGTTATTCAGCAATGATAATATTAAGATACACCCTGTAAGAATAACTCCTATTAAATTAGAACAAGGGAAAAAAAAAAAAATCACTAAAGATTTTGGCCATGGATACTATCGCATTTAATTGTTTCACTGTTGGTCAATGAACATGAAAAGGTGAAATGAAGACTGCACTGTAAGAAATAGGACGGACATTCCATTTTTCATCACAAGATGATGGTACTGTAATTATTACCCCTTCTACAATACTTAAGAGGTCTAGTATAATCCACTGGGATACACAGATCAAGCTGTAAATTCTTCTTGGTGTACCAACTGACGTAATACAACCCCACTAATGGCAATTGCATGACAACACCAGTAAGAACAAAGAGAATGACAACTATGAACACCTGCACGCCTGGATATTCCTGTCAAATTGAAGAAGACTGAAACACCAATACCTGTGTTCCTCTCCTTCGGCTCTATTTGGGTCCAGATGGAAGGCTCACGGGTAGAATGGTATTAATCTAGTCTTTGTCTACAATCAAGAAAGATCTGTTCAAGATTTACCTCTTTCTTTCTAGCACGCTCAGCCTTTATTTTCTCATACTCTTCTTTTGCCTTCTGATTGGACGTTTTCTTCTTAAACTTTCCTTCAGTCATAGCTGACCTGTAAGAAAAAGCACATGTACTTCAGATACCGACTATCACCAAGCAGACATAACCACAGATCCCACAGCCACTGCAGAATCAGAGCACAGTCTTCCACTCTTCCACCGCTTTTTGCACGTTTCGGGAAGTTAATTAGAAATTTAATTAGAGATTTCAGAAGGCTCATCCTTCCACACTGGATGGACACCTATTTGCACCACTTTTACAAGATACCCAGCACCATTACATGCCACATCAAAACAAGCAGCCAGCATCAAAACAGCAAACTAAACTCCTCCCATGCCCAGTGTACTGAAGACTGGGCTGCACAGGACTTTTAGTAGCCCATACACCTTATCTGCTGGATCTTCACAGGGATGATGTTTCATGAAGTTTAAAGAGTGCTGAAAAGAGGATTTTTTTTCCCGTTCATACAAGCCCTTCAGAGCTAGGAAAACTAAATCCACTAGCTCAGAGCTGTATTATCTCTTCCTAGTTCTGGCATATGGATGCAACTGCAGAGGTAAGAGGACAGCCAGCTGTTAGCAGACTGCCTGCCAGAGGAGTCAGGCTGACATGGGAAAGTGAAAAAGCACAGTAGTAACAATGCCTTTCTAAAAGTTTCTTCTTGAAGGAGATGGCATATTATTGTCCTTAATGTTCTGAACTTAGGAACTAAAATGATGTTCCTTCCAAATTTCAATATAAAAAACTGCCCAGACACCTTTCACTGAAGAAAACAGCACAAGAAAACCAGTGCCATTTGTCTGGCATTTACTGTCAGAACTCTACCTGGAGTAGATCTTTCTGGTTATTTCGTTCTGAATTATTTTTTTTCTGACTCACAATAAAGTCATTACATAAACAGGGTGGTAGCAAAGACATTTCACCCTTGAAAAATAAAAGCCTTGCTAGATAATTAACAACTGTTCACAAATAAGTTTTTGATTAGTCTATTACCCACACTACAAAAAGCTGAAAACGAGCCATCATTATCTCGATTTCAGACAGGAAAGACAAGGTATTTGCTCATACTTCCATTTAGAAATACCACTCTCCTCCGGACACACAAAAAAATAATAATAAAAAAAAAAATCTTTGCTTTATTCTCGTCTCCATCTTGTGGCGATACTGTGTAATGACGCCTCATCGTCTCAAGTACAACTAAATTGCAATATACGCTAAACATAGAATTACCTAACCAAGGTCTTCTTTTACATTGCCATAAAACACTGAAGGCTATCTAATAGACTCCAGACATCACACCACCTCACAGATCAGCAGTCACATCTTTGCAGAATTATTAATCGTGGTTTACAATCACAATGACCATAGTTTAAACAAAATTTAAAACTCTTCTGGTTTAAAGAAAAGCATCAGTCCTATTTCAGACATGCCCACAAATTACATACCTAGAGACAAAACTCTACCTTTCTGCCACTGCTGGGCTTAGATCAGACTGCCTTTGCCCAGGAAAGTTTATATGCAGGCACACCTTGGAATTCAAAGGCTGCTGACACTCCATGTACTGAGGACAAAAAGGGCATTATCTCAATCACCGCAGGTGAATGCTGTTTAAAAACATTGCCATGACAGCGTTAGACCTGAGTGACTTTGCTTTTCATTGTACTGACATACCTAACCAAGATTTCAGGGGGAATTACTGTCACACAGGGAAAAAATGGTTTAAGTTGTCTGACATTTGTCAGACCGCAAGTGAGAAACTCCATTTGACTTACCCAGTTACTATAAGTAAATTTAAAACAAAACAAAAACCCAAAAAAACCAAACACTACTGGCAACTATTATGACACCTCTATTATTTTAAAATTATTACTTTGATCAAGAACATTTTTTTCTTTTAAAGTTCATAGTTAAAATCCTCCCCAAACTAGCCATACCACAAAAGGACAACTGCACACCATTATCACCCATTCTGGCACAAAAAAAGTGCAGTATGAAGAAGACAACTTACCAAACCGGGAACAGAAAGATAACGCAAAAAAATGTTTCTGAAAAGTGACATTAGTTTCAAAGTACTGAAAATCAATTCAAAGGAAAAATCTGTAGACTCAAAAACACACTACCCGAAAAGCAGGCTATTATGGTTGTAGATATGGTAAGAAATTGGCCAAACACTTACTGCTCTCGGGCTGAACCTTGTCCTTAAAGTACCACAGTAACTATCATGTTATTTCTGTGGAATCAAGCCCTAAATATCATCAAATTTGCTTTCTGACTCTGATGCAGACACAACAGAGCTGCATATTTACATTTTCTAACCATTAGGAAAAACACTTAAGACCTAATGACACCTTTTTAGTAAAGCAAACCACCACACTGAAGTTCACGTAAAGTATAAGTCATGAAATACTTCTTTAACGACGGAAAACAATTACTGCGTTTGAGAGACATATTTTAAAAACTTACTCTACTTCTTTATTAAGTTTTTCTTCTGATAAAACTGAATCACCTGGAGCCCTGCGCCGTTTCTTAAGCATTTCTTCCTCGGCTAGGTACAGATGTTTCAAGTGCTCTGGATAAGTATCGGTAAACTGATTATCCTGTTGCGAATGGACCTTTCTTCCCTTTTTCAATAATTTCCTGTATTGTCTTTCGATCTTTTGTTTTCTCCGAAATGCAAATCCTCGTCCTGAAAACATAAGAAAAAGGGAGTTAAATACACCTGCTCTGAAGCAGTACCAAACCATTCAATTGTTGCCAGAACTATTTCAATCCATTTTCTTTCCAAAATAGGAAGAGTCGCTACTTGTGCTAATTTTAATAAGGATCAGTCAAAAATTCAAGTAAAATCACTGTTACGAACCTGTTCTATACTGTAGCATTACAGCTTGTAGAGATTCACTGAAAATTATCGCCTAAACCCTTAAGAGATCATGCCACTGCAAACACACTGCTTAATGCAGACTCAACTTTATACACCTTTGCCAATGCTTTTCAAATCCAGTAAAAAGATACATTCACGTTTCACTTCTCTCCTACTTTTGGCAGCTTCATAAACAACATCAAAATAGATTCCTAAAGACAGTCTCAAGAAGACACTGATAATAGTAATACTGGCTGCTCAAGTAGTCTGCACCTGCAATGCCACAGGAAAAACACAGCCACTAAATCTGTATTAATGTCTTTTCCCACAAACTTTTATTGCTACTACTTTCTTTCAACACCTGTCCAGGAAAACCTTTCCTACAACTGCAAAAGTACGCTACATCACAGAATGATTCAGCCTTCAAGGAAAGGTCAGATAATGGCTGTTTCAGTCTCAATCATTTTATAACCACTTATCAACCTTGAATTAAACACTTTTTTCCTAGTGATGTACAACACTAATATGTTGTTACTGCATCAGCCTTCAGAGGTACCAACTTTTATAATACTCATTACCAAACTAGTTTATAAAGGCAGCTAGTCCAAATTATTCCAAACTTTTCCTTTGATTCTTTCTCCAAAGCTGCTATTTCAGAAAAGTGCAGCAAAAGCCGATGCTCTTTTTTTATCAGTTCATTTCTAAATTTGCACAACTCCCTGCCAATAGCCCGAACCTGTTTCCGAATATGCTTTTATTTTAAATACACAGTCTCGCAGAAAATGAAACCCGAGCCCCAAACCAGACCCATCACCACCCGGCCCGACTCTGCAATCCCGAGGT